ACCTAGACTAACCTCTTTTGTTAGTGAACTAATACTTATAATGGTTAAGATTAAAATCAAGGAAATATCCTAAGTCATAAAATAAGAAATATATTTTATATGCGTAAGAACCCATAATTCCTATAATATTTATTAAGCGTGAAGTTCTTTCCTAGGCACTGAAGATGTAGAAATACATGACACCTTTCTTGCAGAATATATTATATAGTTTTATATATATTATATACTTTATTATATTATATGTAATATTTGTATATAATATATTCTATATATATATATAGATTTTTGGTGTTTTTTTTTTAGACAAAGTCTCACTCAGTTGTCCAGGCTGGAGTGCAGTGGCAAGATCATGGCTCACTGCAGCCTCTATCTCCTGGGCTCAAGTAATCCTCCCACCTCAGCTGCCTGAGTAGCTGGGACTGCAGGTTCACGCCACAACACCTGGCAAATTTTTAAAATTTTTACTAGAGACAGGGTCTTCCTGTGTTGTCCAGACTGGTCTCAAACTCCTGGGCTCAAGCAATCCTCCCACCTTGGCCACCCAAAGTGCTAGGATTACAGGCATAAGCCACCATGTCCAGTCCAGGGAACATATATTTTAACCCATAGCAAATACAGTTGAATTTTTAAGAGAGAGACAGAGAGAGTGAGAGAGAGAGAGAGACAGTATGTGTGTGTGTGTGTGTGTGTGTTGGAAGGGGCCACATCTCTACTGGTTTATTTGCATAGATATTTCTAACTTAAAACACATTTTTATTCTCAAACTTTTCTGATAGGAGTATATAAATTGGTTCAATCTTACAAAATACAAATACCTATCAAAAATACAAATGAACTAATCTGTTGACACTAGAGCCTCCTTCTAGGGATTTTCCCTAAAGATATAATTGTACATGTGGGGCCAGATGCAATGGCTCATGCCTGAAGCCAAGATCTCACCACTGCACTCTAGCCTGGACAACAGAGCGAGACTCCATCTCAAAAAAAAAAAATATATATATATAATAATAATAACTGCACATGTAGAAAATTATACGTGCAAGGATGTTCCCTGTAGTGTTACAGTATTAGCAAAATAATGGAAAGAAACTAACTGCCCAGCAAGAGGAGGTTAAATAAACTACGGTACATCCACAGGTATAGACACAATAAAAGCAAGTGCATTGACAATAAGATAATCTCTATGAAATATAATTTAAAATAAAATACAATGCAGAACATTCAGTTTAGGTAACCCTAAAAGTAAGAATCAAAACTATAGGCCGGGCATGGTGGCTCATGCCTGTAATCCCATCACTTTGGGAGGCTTAGATGGGCAGATCACCTGAGGTTGGGAGACCAGCCTGACCAACATGGAGAAACCCTGTCTCTGCTAAAAATACAAAATTAGCCAGGCATGGTGGCGCATGCCTGTAATCCCAGCTACTTGGGAGGCTGAGGCAGGAGAATCGCTTGAACCCAGGAGGCAGAGGTTACGGTGAGCCGAGATCATGCCACTGCATTCCAGCCTGGGCAAGAAGAGTGACACTCAGTCTCAAAAAAAAGTAAAAAAAAAAAACCACAAGAATCAAAATTATAAACCTTCTAGAAGAAAATCTTCATAACTAAGGGTAAGCAAAGATTTCATAAAGAGGACATAAAAGACACTAACCATAAAGAAAATAAATTGACTAATTTGACTTAAATAAAACTTAAAAACACTTATCAAAAGATAGCATTATGATAATAAAATGGCAAGTCACGGACTGGGAGAAATTATCAGCAATGTACACATCTCACAAATATTTGTATCTAGAATATGCAAAGAAATCCTTTAAATCACTGAGGAGAAGACTAACACTCCAATAAAAACAATGGAAAGGCTGGAACCTATAGTTCACATAGATACCTAAATGACCACTAAGCATAAAAAAACACATCTTAACTCATCAGGGAATTGCAAATTCAAATCACAATGAGATGCTACTACATACTCACCAAAATGGCTAAAATTTAAAAGACTGGCCAGGCACAGTGACTCATACCTGTAACCCCAGGACTTTGGGAGGTCCAGGCAGGTGGATCACTTGAGGTTCGGAGTTCAAGACCAGCCTGGCCAACATGGTGAAACACGATCCCTAATAAAATACAAAAAAATTAGCTGGTCATCATGGTGGTTGGGTGCCTGTGATCCCAGCTACTCAGGAAGCTAAGGCAGGAGAATTGCTTGAACCCAAGAGGCAGAGGTTGCAGTGAGCTGAGATCATGCCACTGCACTCCAGCCTGGGCAACAGAGCAAGACTCTCTCAAAAAAAAAAAAAAGTTTGCATTATCAAGAGTTAGCACAGATAATTAAAACTCTCAAACATTGCTACTAGAGTATAAACTGGTACCATTCTAAAAAACCAGCAGCTTACTAAAGCTAAATATACATCTACCCTGTGACCCATTCGTTTTTCACTTGTAGGTATATACCAAAAGAAATCAATATGCATGTCAAACAAAAGGCATTCAAAAGAAAGTTCAGTTTTATTCACAAAAGGCAAAAACTAAAAACAACTCAAGTGTTGATCAATAGCAATGTGAATACTCTGTGGTATATTCCTAAAATGTAATACAATACACACAGTAAAAACACACCACTGATACACACAAAATTGAATGAACATTATAAGCCTTCAATTAGTACAAGCACGGTGGCTCACACCTGTAATCCCAGCAATTTGGGAGGCTGAGGTGGACGGATTGCTAGAGACCAGGAGTTCAAGACAAGCCTGGCCAACATGGCAAAACCCCATCTCTACCAAAAATACAAAAAAAATAGACAGGCATGGTGGTGAGTGCCTGTAATCATCGCAGCTACTCGGGAAGCTCAGGCATGAGAATCGCTTGAACATTGGAGGCAGAGGTTGCAGTGAGCTGAGATTGCACCACTGTACTCCAGTCTGGGCAACAGAGCAAGACTCCATCTCAAAAAAAAAAAAAGAAAGTCTCCAATTAAGCAAAAGAAATCAGGCATAAATCAGAACATACTAGGCCAGGTGAGGTGGCTCACATCTGTAATCCCAGCACTTTGGGAGGCCAAGGCAGGCAGATCACTTGAGCCCAGGAGTTCAAGATCACCCCAGTCAACATGGTGAAACCTGGTCTCTACCAAAAATACAAAAATCAGCCAGGTGTCATGGCAAGTACCTGTAATCCCAGCTACTCAGGAGGTTGAGGCACAAGAATCACTTGAACCCTGGAGCTGGAGGTTGCAGTGAGCCAAGGTTGCGCTACTACACTCCAGCCTGGATGACAAAGCAAGACTCCATCTCAAAGAGAAAAAAAAAAGAACCTACTTAGAGAAGTTAAGCTAGCATAGAGTATTAGAAGTCAAAAATAGTGGTTATCTCTGGAGGAGGTAGTATTGTTTGGGAATAAAAAAAGAAACTTTCCGGAGTGATGGAAAGATACTATATCTTAAACTGAGTAGCATCTATCCAGGTGTATATCTTTAAAAAAAAAAAATAATGAGACTTAAACTGAGTAGCATCTATCCAGGTGTATATCTTTAAAAAAAATCAAGAAACCAAGCTGGGAGATCATGGAGAGACTCCACCTCTACAAAAACTACAAAAGTTAGTTTGAGCATGATGGCATGTGCTTTGTAGTTCCAGCTATTCAGGAGGCTGAGATGGAGGATCGATTGAGCCCTGACTCAGGAGCGTGATCACACCTGAATGCACTTCAGCCTGGGCTATTGTGAGCAAGACTGGTAATGTTTGTAATGCAAAGAAATGATAAATGCTTAAGGTGATGATACCCATTTATCCTGATATGAGTATTACATACTGTAAGGTCACACAAAAGTCTATACATACCCTAAGGGGTAACATATCTACTACACAGGCTGAGGCCCAGGCGGGTGATCGCGAGGTCAGAGATCGAGACCATCCCGCTAATGCAACGAAACCCCATCTCTACCAAAAAATATAAAAATTAGCCGGGCCTGGGGGAAGTGGACACCTGTAGTTCCAGCTAAGACACGAGACTGAGACAGGAGAATGGGTGTGGTCCCGAGAGGCGGCTTGCAGTGAGCCGAGATCGCGCCACTGCACTTCAGCCTAGGCGACAGACAGACTCCATTTCAAAAAAATATGTATATATATATATGTGTGTGCCTACTATGTACCTACAAAAATTTAAAACTAAAAAAGTTCATGCTGCTGCCGTGGCTCACACCTATAATCAGCACTTTGGGAGGCCAAGGCAGGCAGATCACTGAGTCGGGATGAAACCAGCGCCCAGCCACATGGTGAAACCCCATCTCTACTAAAAATATTAAAAAAAATTAGCTGGGCGTGGGTGAGGAGGTGCCTGTAATGCCATGTTACTTGGGAGGCTGAGGCAGGAGAATTGTTTGAACTGGGAGGCAGAAGGTTGTAGGAGACAAGATAATAATGATTGCACTCAGTGCCTAGGGCAACAAAGAGTGAGACTTGTCTCAACAACAACAAAAAGTTTAAAGAGGAAGACTATTTTGCTTGGTTTTGAATAGAATATCTCTGGAAAGGTACAAAAAAGAACTGGTAATATGGATTTCTTTGGAGGAAGAGAATAAGGTGGGATGAGCAGAGGAAAGGAGAGATTGTATATTGTAGGACTGTTAGACACTAAGGAAAAAGACTCAGTTTATGTCCCAATGTAAATTCATGACGCTCCTACTTCTCTCTCTCTCAAAAGTGTCCTGGTTTATATGATGAATTATATTGCCCACCTACTTATATATATCTTATAGGATTTAGTATTATGAATGCACACATTTTCCAAAAATAAATAAAATAAAGGGAAGTATACACGGTGCCTTTGATACATAACAAGAGCAATTTCTTTATACTTTTGTTTTTTCAGTTTTTAAAGGAGGAGATAAATATCTAAGGAGCAATTTCTGTAAACTTGATTTAATCCATCTCTGCATACTTGAAGCAAATCTAATCTGCACAAGGCTTATCATATCACCTCTTCTGAACATTTTCAACTTCACTTTGAGCAAACAACCTTCCAACTTCTTTACTTGACCTTTGAAGACTTGCCAAAGTATACCTAAAACAACCTTCCTCATGTTCTGAAACTCAACTCTCAGCGCCTCTGTGATCAAGTGGATTGTTTTCCCTAAGTCTGCTCTGATTCCTTCCTGCTTCTTTGTATTTGTTTCTACTGTAGATTCTGGGAATGTCTAGTAAATGTCTTAATCCATCCACATTTTCTATCTACTCTTCCAGACACCATGCAACTCAAGTCCTACTGCTTCCTTTAAAAGTCCTTCACCTGAACCACATTTAGGTACTTTGAAGTATTTTAATTTATTTTGTTTTGCTGTTTGTTTTGAGACAGACTCTCACTCATTTGCCCAGGCTGGAGTGTAGTGGCGCGATCTGGGCTCATGGCAACCTCCGCCTCTGTAGGTTCAAGTGATTCTTCATTTCAGCTCCAAATAGCTGGGATTACAGAACCTGCCACCACACCTGGCTAATTTTAGAGCTTTGGTAGAGACAGGGCTTTCACCATGTTGGCTAGGATGGTCTCACAACCTAACCCAAAGTGATCCACCTGCCTCAGCCTCCCAAAGATTCTGGTTGGAATTATAGGCATGAGCCACTGCACTCTGCCCACATTACATCATTTGTTGCAATAAAAACTTTCAACAGATTAAAGTGTGTCATAATAGATTCTAAAGATGTTATTAATTAAGTTTTTTAATTGTGAGACATTTATTGTACTGGAAACTAGGACAGAGTTGAATAAGAGGCTATCTCACCATGAAGCCCCTAAAGAAAACATCTAATAACTGCCATCATATCACCTTGCCTCACATATCTGCTACTCTCAGCTGCTTGCAAAGAACCGTCATTGTCAGCACTGCCATATATAGGCATATAGCATACAAACACACACAGACAAACACAGATATCTCAAGTCCCAAGCTCTAGGATCATCCAACCATGAGTACGTAATGTTGTTAACTTAGAAAAAATTAAAGATACTTTATTCTACACCTGATGTATTATCTGCAACAAAACATACCACTTAATTTTATTCAGTTTTCTGTTATTTTTATTTTAATTTTTCCATACATATACATCTAATCTAGGGAACAGAAATCATTCTCTTAGTAGAGTAAACTTCTATTATACCCTAATACATAACACTCACATATGGTCAATATGTCTTTGTTCATTTGAGTGATCAGTATAATTCTTCTTGATGTTTAAGTGTACCAAGATTTATGGATGAATTATTAGTCAGAACACGCATCACATATGTCTGAGTCATTTACTTCCAGAATCTCTCATACTTATTGATTTATCTCCAATCTCTCAATTCTTTATGCATTTAAAAAGATGATAGGAGAGATAAAATAGATGATTGATTGATTGATAGATAGATAGATAGAGAGATAGATAGATAGATAGGATAGATAGAGATATGCATGGTTGTATGTGCCTTGGTCCAGCTACTCAGGAGGCTGAGTGGGGAGGATCACCTGAGTCCAGGATGTTGAGGCCAGTTTTATGATTACACTACTGCACTCCAGCAGCCTGGGGCTTATAGAGCAGACCCTAATCTAAAAATATATAGATAGGTAGTAGATAGATATGATAGATAGACAGATAGATAATCACATAGCACAGTACTGATATTCATTTAATTAGACATCTATAATATAATTGCTTAATAAGTAGTCTGTTCTATGGTATAAAGTAGTGACCAACCAAGGACCACGGTCTTTCCTATGAGGCTTACATCTTACTGAGGCCCATTTTAGGCAGTTAGTGAAGAGAGTTAGCAGGAATTAGAGCCAGAACCCAACTCTTTATTTGAGGTTTCACTTTCAAATGGTCTATTTAATTACATCGAATATATATGAAGCAGCATGCATGAAGCAAGATGTAAATAAATAGACATCAGGATCATTCTGCAGGTATCATGAGTGAAAATACAGGCTAGTGAAATAAAGCAAACCTGTCTAAAGTTTGGCTTTAGCCCTTTACATATCAAGATAAGCCTCAAGCCTAAAGTATAGAATTTACCAACAAGGAGGCTTGTGAAACAGTGGCCACGCCTGTAATACCAGCACTTTGGGAGGCCGGCGGTGGGAATCGCTTGAGGTCAGAAGTTACAGACCACCCAACATGGCAAAACCCTGACTCTACTAAAAATACAAAAAGAATTAGCTAGGCGGTGGCACTCTGCCTATAATCTCAGCTACTGGGAAGCTAAGGCAGATAACTGAACCTGGGAGGTGGAGGCTGCAGGAGTTGATCATAAACATTGCATCCAGTTTGGGCGATAAGAGGAGACTGAAATCTCAAAAAAAAAAAAGAAAAAGAAAGAAAGATACAAAGAAAGGAAAAAGAGTTACTGAAACATACCTGGGTGATCATGGAGATCAAAAGATATATAAATGTCCATCATCTGTCTGGTATAGTAAGAATCTGAAATAGATTCTCTGTCCATAATAATCAAATATAATCTAATCTGACAACACCGCTGCAGCATACGTAAAAGGCCGGATTTTTAGATTTGTAAAGGCCAACAGTAAACTATTATGCTTTACTCATAAAAACACAAGGGATAAAGACTGCTTTTTTTTTTTTTTTAAAGAGCAGTCTTACTCTGTCACCAGGCTGAGTGCAGTGGCGTGATCTCAGCCACACTGCAACCTCCACATCCCAGGGTTCAAGGATTTTCCTGCCTCAGCCTCCTGAGTAGCTGGGACTACAGATGATGATGCCACATGCCCAGCTAATTTTTGTATTTAGTAGATGGGTTTCAGCATGTTGGCCAGATGGTCTCAATCTCTTGACTCATGGATCTGCCTGCCTCGCCCAAAGTGCTGTGCTGGGATTAGCAGGAAGCCACTGCGCCAAGTCATGTTAATTTCTTTCATAAAATTTTCCTACAGTATACTTTTTTGAGACAGAGTCTCTCTTTTGTATACCTTAGGCTGGAGTGGGCAGGGTGCACCGGGCCACTGTAACCTCCACCTCCCGGACCAACCAATCTCTTCTCCTTGCCTCAGCCTCCCAGATGGCTGGGATTACATGCATGTGCCATGATGCCCAGCTAATCTAGTATTTAGGCATACAGGTTTTCACCATGTTGGCCAAGCTGGTCTTGAACTTCTGACCTCAAGTGATCCACCCGCCTCAGCTTCCCAAAGTGCTGGGATTACAGGCATGAGCCACCAAGTGCCCAGTCCCTATCACATTTAGATAGTGCCCTTTGATAAAAAATGACATTATTATACGATTAGAGCAAAAAAACATACATTTTGAGTTTTTCATTATAATACTATAGTCCATATCTTGAAGATATCAACAATTTCCAGATAGAAAATATATGAGACTATCATTAAAAATAGATTAATATAATAGTGTATTTTCTCATTAAACCATTAAGTAACGTAACAAACTAATGCAATAAGTTCAGCTACTGTTCTTACTTCTAACCACATTTGGCCCCACTTTAGTAGTTCACAATAATCCAGTGGACACTGCCCTTCTTTGGGCTCTCTTCAAAACTACTCGACTCCCTCCATCAAGATAATACCATGCATTACTCTCGTTAATCGCCAACGTCAACATGATCTCACCAAATAAAGTGAAGTTAGAGATGTTTTCCCGAACTGAAGCCCTGATAAACTTGGGCTCCACCGCAGGGTGATGTGAGAAGCTCCTGATGTCAGAGAAGCCTGGGCTCCAATCCTCACTCATCTGAGCCAACATGGTTACGCTGTTACTGTATACATGGCTGTGCAGTTAGGAGCAGAAGGTTCATACACAATGGATATAATTGCCAATAGTGTGTGTGCATCGGCTGGTTAAAAATATTAGCCAAGGCTTTCAGAAGTGCTTCCCAGTGTTAACTCGCTGAGAGGTTTAGGAATGTTAACATATTGCTGAGTAAGATAAGAGAAAATAACTCTCTTGAGTTAAAGACTCAGCGCCTGATTCTTCCGATTCTTTTCTTTTTTTTTTTTTTTTTTTTTTTTTTTTTTGGAGACGGAGTTTCACTTTGTCACCCAGGCTGGAGTGCAAATGGCACGATCTCAGCTACTTGCAACCCACTCCCGGGTTCAAGCGATTCTCCCAGTCTCCTGAGTAGCTGGGACAGAGACAACACCACATCCGGCTAATTTTGTATTTTTAGTACAGAAGAGGGTTTTCCATGTTGGTCAGGGAATATTCAACTACCGACTGGGGGTGATCCCGCCTCGCCTCAGCCTCCCAGGCGCTTGGGACAGGCATGAGCCACTGTGCCCAGCTGGCCTGGGATTTTGATTTCAATCAGCTTTTATCTTTAGCTGTCAAACCACACTTTATAGAGCTCTTAGAAGCATGTGGTACTGCCCACAAGACACTGTTATTTATATGTGTTCATAGGACTGTACTTCAGAGTTCTTTTTATTTGCATGGCTAAATATTTTCTGCTAATGTTTGTTTTCCCATTTAACAGCAGAGAGGTGGATAAGGACTGTGCTTGTCCTGTAGCCTGCTTAATCTCCAGCGCCTACCACCATTCCCACAGTATGGTAGGAAACTGATGCAGTAACTACTTACTAGGTTAATGTGTAACTTAATTAAGGAACGAAAGGTGTGTCCATGTGAAAGAAATACAGCATGAGAGTTAAGCTTGATTTAATGTAATACATGGAAAGAGATAAAGCAAATGTTTGGCAATGATACCAAGAATTCAATGTTTGTTATTTGCTCCACCGAACAAAATCATCTGAGTAGGGTAACACAAGAGATAAAAGCTGTTATTGACTGAGAAATTAAGTATGATATATACTGTGTAGTTATCCCTGTTAGACTACAGTAAATGTACTAAAGGAACTAAGCAGTAATACTCCATCTCAACAGTTTTTCATTTAATTCATTTACCATTTGAATACAATGTTTAAATCCCAGATCTTTCACATATTCCAATTGAGCTAACACCCTTTAAATAAAAGCATTCACAATAAAGAAATGTCTTGGCCATATGGAGAGTCTATGGAATTGAGCAATGAGAGAAAATGTCCATGCTCTTTTTTCCTTTCTAATGGATGGAAAGAAAACTAAAAGCTCTGAACATTTTGGGAAGAAAGGTTTAGGCAGGGTTCACACCTCGTAATCCTATCACTGGGAGTGCCACATGGCTTGAGTCCAGGAGGTTCAAGATTCAGCCTAGTGGGCACAACGGGACACCATCTCTGCAAAAAAATTTAAAAAATTAGTTTGGGTATTTGGCATGCAGCACCTGTATCTAAGCTATGGGAGGCTGAGGTTGGAGAATCTATTGAGCCCAGGAAGCTGTAGTGTGCCATGGAGGCTGCACTCCAGCCTGGAGTGAGACTCCTGTCTCAAAGAAAACAAAATAGGCTGGGTATGGAGGCTCAGGCTTATAATCCCCAGCACTGACCGGGATCACACAAGGAGCTCATAGACCAGCCTGGTCAAGATGGTGAAACCCCGTCTCTACTGGAAAATACAAAATTAGCTGGTCACGGTAGCTGGCACCTGTAATCCCAGCTACTCGGGAGGCTGAGGCAGGAGAATCCTTTGAACTAGGAGGAGGCAGGTGAGCTGAGATCGCGCCACTGGGCACATTCCCAGCTTGGGCTAGAGCAGAGCAAGACTGTCTTTGAAGAGAGAGAGAAAAAAGCAAAAGCGCTACACATTTTTTTCCTAAGACTTGGGAAATGAAACTAAAATGAAAGTTGTGATGAAGAACTTATATTTCAAGAAATTAAAACTCTACAGTTGCTTGAAATTAATAAAGTAAATCTCATCATGAGGAAATAGAGGCAAAGAGAAATGATTAATTAATAAGAAAATTAATAAAAGAAGACTGCAAAAGACTTGAGTGTCACTTTGGCCATTATTCCAACATCACACAGCAAGCAAAATTTCCTGAAGAATTAACTAGAAGAAGGATTTGGGAATGAAACACCACTGAAAACAAGTTTTTAATATCAATTCAGTTTGTTTTGGAAATGGGGGGGTTTTAGTACTTTTTTTTCACTTGTTTAACGTCATTCATACTGTTTTCCCAACAGTCTTTTTTTTGATTTTCAATCTGCAACTACATTTTGGCATCTAAATACTTGTTAGGAACTCTCAACCAAATATCAATGCAGAGGAATGGCTATAAATAATTATTCTCTAATGCACAAGGTGGGAATCTCATGCACATGACAAATCAGATACATTTAAACCTGAGGGAGGCTTTAAGCAACAAATTTTCAAATACATAACTACCTATAATGTTCCAGAAGGGAAAAAGACCTCTGCTGGTGTATACCTGGTAGATGAAGGCACTCAGTGAATGTGACATCTGTGGTCTAGTCTAGTCAACTTGCTCTTATTCAAAGAATAAAGTACACCTCAAATCACATAAAGGTGTTTGGTATTGTTTTAACAATATGAAGAATGGGAAAGTGTGTTCACCATCTGATCTATGGCTTCTGCTAAAAACACTGCTCTTTCCTATGTGGGCCAAATTCATGCTTAGCCTGAATACATTTTAGAATAGAACGCCTCCCATTTTACTTCTATAAGCATTCGCTTCCCCTGGTTTCTTTCAAAATTATTACTTTCAATGGCAAATGTTAAAACTACCTTTCCCCACCTGTTGACCATTTAATCCTATGTAAGGTGCAGAGTAAAATCCTTTGGAATATGGGTGATGAACAGAATATTCTGTTGAATGAGACGACTCAGCCCTGTGATGCATCAGACCAGAAACAGCTGAGGCAACAGCATCATAACCAGGTCTGGCTGAGAAATTGGACCTGTCTGACCATACCCTAAAACAACAAAAATAAACATATTCAGTAATTACACAGGGTGTGTGCTAAAACCACTGTACAATATAGTGTGTTAAAAACATTTGTATCCAGAAATCCTGCAGCATTTCGAGACTATTAGATCTACCATTCCTTAAGAAGGCAGTAAGAATTCATTATAGTGCCTCGCCCAGCTATTCCATTTTGTTTTTGTTTTGTTTTGTTGTTTTGTTGTTGTTGTTTTGTTTTGTTTTATTTGTTTTTGAGACAGTGTCTCACTCCTCTGCCAGGTGAGTGTAGGTTCGCCTGTCACTGCAACCTCCACTCCCAGGTTCAAGTGATTCTCTTTCAGCCTGGTATAGGCTGTTAGAGGATAAATATGGTGTGTGCCACTACACTCAACCAATTTTTGTATTTTTATGTAAAGACAAGGTTTCACCAAGGTTGGCCAGGCTAGTCTCAAACTCCCCATCGGAAGTGATTCAACGCCTCAGCCTCCCAAAATGCTAGGATTACAGGCGTGAGCCACCGTGCCTGGCTATTCTTAAAAACCCAGAGGCTGGATGTGGTGGCTCACGCCAGCAAGAATCAACAGAACACAGGAAAGATTTTCTCCTACTCCCCAGTCCTGGGTGCTTATTGCTACATCACACGCCTTTATCAGGCCAGGCACGGTGGCTCACGCCTGTAATCCCAGACTCAGGAGGCTGAGGCAGAAGGATCACCGATGGTCAAGAGTCTCGAGACCATCGGCCAACACAATGGAACCAAGTCTCTACTAAAAACACAAAAATTAGCTGTGCGTGGGTGGTGAGTGCCTCTGTAATCCCAGCTACTGGAGGCTGAGGTAGAGAATTGCTTAAACCCGGGAGGTGGAGGCGGTGGTTAGCCGAGATTGTACCACCACACTATAGCTTTGGGCACGCTGAGCAAAACTCTGTCTCAAAAAATAATAATAAAAATAAAATAAATACAGGCTACTGTGGTTACATAATCTGTCTCCAAATCTCTACCTATCAAGCAGAGTGGCCTAAACAAGAGCTTTCAATACACATCAGTTACTTGCTAATATCTCTGCATATGCTGTTTTAGGAAGGCCAGTGACAGGTTGCCTGCAAGCCTGCTTCCAGCCACACCAAAGACTTCTCCTCAACTTGTAAAAGAGCACCCTGCTATATATGTTGCCAGCGCTTTATCACAACACAATACACTATCGGTTAGATTATTTTTGTCTCCTCCCTACTAAAGCGTATACTCCAGAACGCTTTTTCTGTTTCATATGTATCCACTGTATCCCCAGCCTCTAGATCAGTGTTCAATAACATTTATTGAAGGAATGAATTAGGTATAAAAATATTTTATATAAAAATAATTTTTAATGATGTGGTGGTTTCAGCTCTCATAGTCCCCAGCACCTTGAGAGATCACTTGGGCAGGCAGATCACTTCTAAGGTCAGGAGTTTGAGAACAGCCCACAAATATGGTGAAACTCATCTACTAAAATTAGCAAAATTACCCAAACGTGGTGGTGTACACCCGTAGTCCTGCTTACTTGGGAGGCTAAGACAGGAGAATTGGGCTGAACCCAGGAGGTGGAGGTTGCAAAGAAGAAGTGAGGCATTGCACTCCAGCTGGGCACAACAGAGGAGAGTCTGTCTCAAAGAATAAAATAATAATACACATTTAATAATTTTTCAAAAACAAAATAATCTAGTAAAGTAATAAAGAAAACTACAAAAGTGATAATTCACAATCAAGACCCAGCTCCAGATGTATTCACCACCAGAAATGATCTTTCCCCACATAAGTGTATGTGGTAAACAAACTCCAAAGACAAAATTATCACTTAATATATTAAGGAATTAAAGCCAATTCAAGATTATACTGGTGATTGCTGATGATTTAAGAACGTGTTAAAACATGTCTCTATGTTTTTATCTTTGAAAATTATCAAATAAAAATAGATAGAATATATAATAAACTCCATCAATAATTTCCAATAATTATTCATGCTTAATCTTATTTCCACTATGCCTATTTTTCAATCAGAACTATGACATGAAGAAAAAACAAACCATTCTCTTTATTTTTTTTGACACTGGCCTTACCTTTCTTGGTCACCCAGACCGTAGTGTAGTGGCACCGCCAGGGCACACACTGCAATCCTCACTGACTGTGCCCCAGTAATTCTCCCACCTCGGCCTCCAGTAGCTGTTCACAGCACACACCACTATGCCCAGCCACGTTTGCATTTGGGTAGGATGGATTACTGATAAAGGCTCAGGCTGTTTTGAACTCCTGACAAGCAATCCACCTGCCTTCAGTCTCCCAGCGCTGGGATTACAGGCATGAACTACTTACGCCCACACAAAACCACTTGAAACCCAAACATCTTGATTCAGGTAAATTACAGTTTTCACTCTAACATCAATAATAAACTATAAATTTTAACTATTACTTTCTCAGGCTTAGAAAATAAAAAACGATATAAAGCAACAAAGAGAAATAAACTATGTTTAACATTCTGTGGTAAATAAATTGAACGCTAAGTTTTACAGAACGAGTTCCAGGGTAGGCCATGTACTGGTTGTGTACAAAATTCCTGGCCTGATTCAGCTGCCAATGGTTTTCATAAACCACAGGTAGTCCTCAGCATAAACAAGTATCCAGAAACAGAGATGAAGCTACCACCATCAGCAGACATCAGGCACGAAACCACCTATCTCAGCATAGAAGTCACAAAATAGGGAATTGCAAGTTTCAGTTAACTCTAGGTTCGAAAAGGGTTTTCTGGCCAGGAGCCCAAATCCTCAAAATGGACAAACCCAGGTCCCCCACCATCAGTGCAACTCTAAACGGACTTTCTAAACAAAAGGCCTTATGAAAATTCTTTTGTCTAATATTTAGAACAAGAGACACAAATACTCCTAATTACTTTAAATTACAAACTTAAAGTATTTCATTAAAGAGAGAAAAGGAATAGTTGCTCATTGGAAGCAGCAAAAAGGGGTATAGAGAAAAGGGAAGTTTTTTGATTAAAAAAATCTGATTCAAATTATAGCTCTGCCAACTATTAGCCTTTGGCTAATTCAATTATAATCTTCCTGGCCTGAATGTCTTCTAGCCTGTAAAAATGGCAATATTCACATTTATCTCTACAGATTTATGAGGATTTAATTCAATTAGATAACACAGCAAGGAAATGAATTTACATTAGAGAGCTAAATATACACAGTTACTAAAGATGCATTAACTAATATATTAATATATTACTTACCTTTTCACAAAATGTTGGGGAAATAACAAAAGAAAACTACCCTTGAGGTATGTCAAATGATGATGAGACATCTAAGCATTGACATTTTATGTTATTTTAAACTATAGAAAATACTAAGATATTTTGTACTTGAACCTTGCACTTGTCTGGTACAGCAAAGAAGCTGACACAATAAACATGGCTAGTGCGGTGGCTCACGCCCCCCAAACCCCAGCAGTTTGGGAGGAGGTGGATCACTAGATCAGGAGCCCGAGACAAGCCAGCCACACGGCATCCTATCTCTACTAAAGATACAGCAAATTAGCCAGGCTCATGCCTGTAATCCCAGCTACTTGGGACACTGAGGCAGGAGAATCGGGCGGAAACTGGGAGGCAGAGGTTGCAGAGCTGAGATTGTGCATATTGCACTCCAGCCTAGGTAATGGGCGAGACTCCGCCTCAATAATAATAATAATAACAATAAACATATATATTCCGTAATAGAGTCAAAATTATTCACCTTTTCACCTTATACTTATAACTATTTAAATACTGACTACCAGTATATCAACAAATATTTATGAGAATAAATAAACAAAATTTTAAAGCAGAGAATGGACATCAAAATGGTATTTTACTAAGATTACTCTGTTGGTGTTGTACAGAATGAAATTATTCATTAATAATTTAAGGAAGAGGTAGGAAAAAATGTTAAGCCTGGATCCTAGATAGTTCTTTAAATTTATTTTTAGCCATAATTCCAAAACAACTATAATTAAAATATAAATTTAAAGATAAAAATGTAGGCATATCATCTATTTTATATCTGGAAGAGAGTTAAGAAAAATCAGGGAAGAAGGAAAATCAGAGGAACACCCAACACATTTTCTTTCTTTCTCCTCCTCTTCTTCCACTTAGACCTGCACATTCATTTTAAGGAGCAACTCTCGCCATCTTGTGGTATTTATGGACACTCGAAAGCAAATGTGAATTTCTTACACTAGGGTAAATGTATGGTGGAGGGATGCTAGGGAAAAGATTTACTATCTCTTAATATTTTCTGAGTGCATAAGATCTGGCCTTACCTACCCATTTTTCTCCTCTTAATATGTCTAACTTAGATTTTTTCCTCTCCTTAATCCTGCCTTAGAAAGCAGGAGCTACCATTGCTCTTGCTTTCTGTGTAATTCCCAGACACCTCCCATCAGTGCTCAACATTAACTGTTCACAACTGCATTTTTTAAGCTTGGTAGGTTTTGACAAACTGGGTAGCGTTTGCAGAACTCACCGTGAAGAAAGCAGAACTTGAACACATGCTCATAATTTTAGAACCCCCATCTATTAACCCTGTTGCCCTGGGCAGAGTCAGGCATGGAGTGACTGTAGGTCATCACTGCTCCAGGCCCGGAGCACTTCAATTATCAAAACAATTCTCCCACCAGGGATCTGTTCAAGGACAGCTTTAGACTTCTAAGCAACCAAGAGATCAGATGAGGCTTTCACTTTCTAATGAAAAAGAAAAAGAGAGAACAAAATAAAGTATCTCCTATCTATACTATTTCATTAGCCACCTGTTCTGCCTCCCCACTCATTCTGGACTCTTGTGATCACAGTGATTGACTGATTGATTGATTGTGACAGGGTCTTGCTCTATTACCTAGGCTGGAGTGCAGTGGTGTGATCTTTAGCTCATCAGAAGCCTCAATCTCCCAAGCACAGCAATCCACTCGCCTCAGCCTCCCAAGTAACTGTGAGCACAGGCATG